CCCCCCCCGTGTATGTGAAAATAATCTAAACACAGTAAGGCAAAGTAGAGAATCAAGTGTTGTATGAGCAACACAGGAGCCTGATACATTGAAACCCTTGGAGGCAGTGTAGCATTGGAGGACATGGGTTCAGTTCTCCTCTCCTTGTGGGATGTAGCCTTCCCATGTATAGGAGAAAAGACAACTCTCTTAGATCATCGTTCCTCATTTTTATCTCAGCTTTGACTTCCTAATCTATGTCTATATCTATATCTGTATATATGAATAGGGTTTACAAAATTGATGTGTTAATGTGAAAATGGGGAGGAGTGAACTGATACTGTGTCCCTGATATGCTATGAGATTTGTGGCTGAAGGTCTCCAGAGATGACTGTCCCCGATGCCTTCTTTCTGTGTTCATACACACTGCTATTCACTTTAAGAGGCAATGTCCACTTCTACTGGAACCTGGCCTGGCTTCAGTCACTTATTTGACCAACAGAACACAGCAGAATGATTTTCTAGATCTAGCAGGGCAAGGCCCCAGGAAGCCCCTCAGCACCCTCCTGACTCTTCCACAGTACAGCCGGCTGCTCTTTCTGCAGGCCCTCCATTCAGCAATCCTATCAGCCACGAGTGGAAAATTGTTTACTAAATTGTGAGTGTACTGAATGCATACAGAATTTTTATCATGACATCATTTCCTGAGCAGTAAGAATCATACTCTATGGATGGTTTAAAGTTCAAGGGAGGATGTGCATAGATTATATGAAATGTCATTCTTTTTTATAAAGGACTTGGGCATTTTCAGGTTTTTGTGGGGTGCTTTTGGGATACTTCCCTTTAGAATTATCTTATTCCTGTAGGATTTCTATGCCACATAGAAAGGCCATGTTAAAATACTCCAGTTGACAGCCCTTGCTGAGCTCCTAGTTACCTCAGTGTGGTGTGTGAGTCACCTTGAACAGCCACGCCAGTCAAACCCTCGGATGACTCCAGCCTCAGCCGATATCCCAATGTGACCACATAGCCTCCAAGCACTGGTTCACTGAGCCCAGCAATCACAGACCTGTGAGAGGTGACTGTTATTGCCGTCTTAAGCCACTAAATTTTGGGGTGAGAAGATAGGATGCAGTAAATAATGGAAACATACCATTTAAGCACTTTAGAACTTGCTTGCATGTTTAGTCTATTTTATGGAAAGAAGACCTGACACTCAGAGAGGTTAAATTAGTTGTCTAAAGTCACATAGAAAGTGGCAAAGCTCTTTCTATAATTCTATTTGATTCAAAATCCTGTATTGTTAGCTTTCATTACCAAAGAACCCCTTTTTCCATTTAATCATGTATTTATAAATAAAACCAGATTGATATGGACAACTGAATTTAAAAATTATAAAATTCAGGAAAACTATACAATAATAGCTTTAACTTTACTATTAATTATCCATAAGATTTTAACACTGTTTATGGCATGTAAAGCTAGAATAATACTTCTTGCTTTTCAATGCTATTTTGGTCAAACTTCTAGCCAAGTCTTTGTGAGACAGATACACATGGATCAAAATCCAGGACCCTCCCTTTCTCTCCAGGTTGGTCATTACTTTCTCCAACTTGCTTACCCCTGTCTTTCCCACATGGCACCTGTGTCCTTTGCTCAAGGCATATTCAGCAAATGATACCCAAGTGTCGATTCAGGGCAGGCACTGTGTTTGGTACTGAATACTCAGAGACTGGGATCCTGACCACCCGCTAAAAGACCAGGCGCTGCCTGTGACAGGTCCATGCCCTGGTTCCTGCAGGCCCAAGCTTTGCTCTTTTCCTTTGGTCTCCACCGTGCTCATCCTGCACGAGCTCCCACAAAAGCCCCTGATTGTGCCCCCATTTCTCATCCTGCCTTACCTCTGTCATTTTGTTCATTACCTTACCTGGCAAGCTTCAGCACTGTTTTATTACCTTTGTCAGAAGATTAATAGATTCCCTGCACAGTTGGCAACTTGTGTCTCTCTCTGTTTAGACCCTTAGAAAGTCCCTTAGAAAGAAGGACTGCGGGGGCTGGAGAGATGGCTCAGTGGTCTAAAGCACCTACTTGGAACAAGCTTGGCAAAGCACAGGGACCACAGTTCGATCCCCCAGCACCACATGCCAGCCAGCCCCGCCCCCTGGTGGGCTGAGCTGGCCACACACACACACAATAAATAAATGTAAAATATAAATAAATAAACAGCGGAATACATTTAAAAAAAAAAAAAGAAAGAAGGACTGTCTTTTTTGTTTTGTTTTCCATGCCTTTTTATAACAACAGATCACATCTATTCCATGTAATAAGCATGAGAGAAGCAATGAAGCAAGGTTAATGAATGCCAGCATTTTAGTTTAGTGTGGCCATCAGAAGTAAACTCAGTTTACTTTTGCTCCTTCTTTTGGTTGTCGAGTTTGAAAACTTGGATGGCCAGATGACCAGTAGAAGGCATACATGTGAAGAATGAGCCTCATGGCCCCTGGGAAGATGAATGCTGACTCAGAACGTTGCACAAAAAAACAAAAACAAAAAAACATGGCAGTGCGTGAAGCCATTGGACAGCAATTATGCAACTGAAGAAACAGGCTAGCTAAGTATACATTGCACTTCAGGCTGAGGAGGATAAAAAAAATAGATGATTTCAGAGCAGAAAGGGAAACTGTAGGATGCTGGGAATGGACTGAATAATCTGTCTGTGCAGATGACTGAAAGAAGACTCTGTGACACAGGGTGACAGTGTGTGCAAAGGTTCTGAGGCAGAAACAAGCCTGCAGTTCACTCTGCTCTCCCTTTAGGAAATCAACCACAGGTTCCAGATAAACTTAGATATTCTCAGAAGGCTTTTATAGATACATAATCTCTTTTCTTTTTCTTTTTGGTACTGGAGATCAAACTTGGGACCTTGCACTTGTTATATCCTTGGCCCAACCTCTTTTCCCTACAATGGTGTTACCTGAACATACTTGTATAGGGTATACTGAGTCCATTTTGTAGCTGAGGAATAGAACATGAATGTGATGGCCATGCACAGCTGGCTATGGACAAAGCTAAGTGAGGGACAGCAACACTCTGACTTCAAGGCCAAGCTGCAAACCACAACCTCACACAACTCCACACAGCCCCACACAGCCCCACACAGCCCCACACAGCTCCACACAGCTCCACACAGCTCCACACAGCCCCATAGCAAGAAAGTGGAGTGCATCCTAAAACCAACTTTCTCTCGCAAGAAGCTAGGGACTCTGTGCCAGAGCAGGATTTATGACCTAGTAACTGAGGACAGAAATAATTGGTCACATTAGAGCCTGGCAAGCTGGTCTGGGCTCCACTGCAGAGGAGCAGCACAGATTGAAATAGCCAAAGCAAGTTTACTTTTCTCAGCCCAGGTGTTCTCCTGTGGCCAGCAGAGCCCTAATGACTGCTGTGTATCCAAGGCACCAGTAATTGATGGTCCAATTTAAAGTGTTTAGAGGTCACATTTCTTTTCCATGCTCAGAAGGAAAAACACCAGCTGAGGATGGATGAAAAAACTGCCTGTTCTTAGTCATTCTTCTGTGGTAGCTATTCAGTCCTCAGAAGGGCCAAATCCATCCTGTTAAGTACCTGGAGGAAAGTAGTAGTTACCTAGAGAAGTTGAACAGAAAGGAATGAACAGAGTGAAGGGCACGCACTGTGGGGAATTCCCAGTCTCTGAGCTGGACTGGACTGCGGGTCTCACAGCAGAGTAACCACATACCTTGCAATGTACATGTCTTAGTTACTTTTTACTCGTTGCTGGGACAAATACCCGACACACAAAATGAAGGATGGAAAGGTTTACTTAGCTCACAGTTACTGGAGGGTTCAGTCCATATTCCGCAGGCTCCAAGGCAAACAGTAGTTCACACAGCAGAAAGCAATGAAGAGCAAAGAAGGAGCAGCAGCTGCGGCAGCGTCCATCAAGCCCCTCTCTTCCTTCTGCGCTGACTGGGAAGACCGGCCGGTGCTCCACAGTGAAGATCCAGCTCCTCCAAAGTGGCACGGCGGCCACAAAGATCAAGCTCCTCCAAAGACTGAGACTTCTCCCTGGGAGCGGGGCGGGGCAGCAGGAAACCAGGCAGGGCGGCTTCCTGCCTTTCTCAATTCCTGGGCCCTGCCCACCTGAAGGGCGAGGCCCCCATGGGGGGGGGAGCTGATTCAGCCAAGTTGACACAATGTATCAACTAACACAATCCACCCCTTGTCAATTTGGCAACTAGACACATACTTTTTAAGCCAATTTCCAGGTACACAGACATGCTTAAACATTTTACAAATTGAACACTGCCTTACATTAGAACCATGACATGCTACCCCTGGCCCTC